AAAATGTTTCAGATCGTAATAATTACAGACTCCAGTAAAAGTAATTTAGAGTCTAAATAAGTCAAATGATACATAAATGATGTAATTGTACATACATATTAAAAAAATCAATAAATATGAAATTCGATCGTACAGATCGAACTTCTGCTTCGTTATCTTGAATAAGACAAACATTCAGAAATATCGTCGTTTGTGTGGGGTAGAAGTTCGGTGATAAAGGAGAGATTTGATGTTAGAAAGGTGGAGCATAGAAAAGAATAAAAATAGTGCATAAATAATAAAATACATACCTTCAAGCATTTAAAGCATTTAAAACGTAGTACCATTAAAATGTAGAGTATAACGGTAATTAAGCAATAAGGTCAAGAGTGTATGATTAGTATGACTAGGTTGGAAACGTCAGTAATTAATAAATAAAAAAAAATCATAAAAAAAACATAAAAAATAAAAAAAAACATAAAAAAAAAATTCATAAAATCAAGAAAAAAAAAAAAAAATTCAAAAAAAACATACACATAAAAAAACTAATTAGGAAGCGTCGGGCAATCAAATCAAAAGGACTCTAGTTTTATGTAAGTAACTAGTAAATTAAGAATTTTTTAGTTAATATTTTTTTTAAAATAGCAATTTATGTCAACTTATATTACTTTAAAACAGCAGGATCAACCTTCTCATCCACGAAATGACTTTCACATTTACTAATTGTATGGATAAGGATATGTTTGTAATGGGGGATACGTCTACAAATTATATGGAGGATACTTTTACAAATAATATGGAACATTATTTTACAAATTATACAGAAAATACGTTTACATATCATATGGAGAATTCATTTACCAACTCTATGTGGAATACGGAAGATACATTCTTAAATTATACGAAAAATACATCTATGAATAGTGCAATGCAGATAAATGCTTCTAATACCCTAGCTGCTAATGAAGACACCAGAGTGGATAAAGACATAAGAATGGATAAAAGTATTGAAGTGAGTCAAAACTATGCTTGCTTTTGTTTTATTACCAATTATTATTTAACTGATGTAAATTCTATTTTTTATTTTTATAATTTATGAAGATTGACTGTGCTGAATCGGATGTTGACTCTTACGAAGCAATTCAAGACACTGCAAATCCTAATAATCATACGAATGATAAAAATTCTTGTAAGGTAAATTGAATTTTAAAGAGGCAATACAAATTTTTCTTGAGTATAATATCTAAATAACAACGATAAAATATATATGTTCTTAGATATTTTCTTGGAGTTCATTGCCGGATTTTTTGCAAGCAATTTTCCCTTCGAATTACAGTTATATGATTCAATGTATCTTAAAGTTGCCACCACATTACACCTATGAGGGTTTTGAAATACAGCAATTCGAAGTTGTTGCATTTGTCAATGTTTCAACTATAGAGGAAATAAAAGAATGGTTTTCTGCTTTTGAAGAACATTCGAAAACAACTATGCCGCAAACAAAAGGATATGGGGTTAAAGGCAAGCGAGTCATTTTTCGAGAATTAAGGCATTGCATACATAGTCAAATAGTTAAAAAAAAACAGGGTAATCCTGAAAGAAAATTTCCAGAATCAACACGAAATAGAAATACAGGTTGTGCAGCATCCTTGAGTTTGCGACTAGAACGTCAGCATTTAAATAGCAGTCATCCTTTTGAGGTTCATGTTTGCTTTAAACATAACCATGTGGTTAATTGTGCAGAGTCACTTAGTTTTAGGCGTGTGCATGAAGATATACGTAATAAATTTATGCAAATATTTTATGATGGTTATTCACCTGCCTCTGCTTTATATACTCATCAAGATAAGTTACATCTTTCAGCTCTATCAAACGAAAGTCTTGTTGAAACTTTTGCTGATTGTGCAATTAACCCGGATTATACCTATGTTGTTCATCTTTTTGAACATTATCGTAATTCTCAGCTTGGTGGACAGAATGGTGCAACAATGTTTCAGCGGTTAAATAAAGAGGTTTTAAATTATAATGCATCTGGTTATGGATGAGCAATTCTTCAAGAGTATGACTCACAAACAGGAAAAGCATTTATACTATGTATTGTTACGGGGCTAATGAGTAGAGTGCATGAAAAAGTTCGTGAATCTGGAGAAATTTGTTATATAGATGCATCCGCATCATTCGAACCTTTAAATACACCAATAACACTCTTGTATACAAGCTACGTAGCAGGTGCATTGCCTTTAGGGCTATTTGTTACATTTGATGAACTTGAATTAACAATTGAAAAAGCAATTAATTTATTAAAATTAATTCTTCCTGAACATGCATTTTTTGGCCGTGGATGTAACGTTGGTCCTCAAAATATTTTAACCGATGATTCAGCTGCAGAGCAAAACGCGATAAAAATTTGTTGGCCACAATCTAATTTACTTTTATGTACATTTCATATTTTACAGGCATTCTGGCGTTGGCTTTACAACTCAAAGCATGGTATTAGTAAAGAACATTGTGTAGCTATAATAAGTCAAATGAAAAAAATTTTATATGCTCGTACAGAATCTGATATAAATAATTATTACCAAGAATTAAAGGTTAATTATTATCAGCATTATCTATTATTTGCAAAATATTATGAACGTCTTTGGAATCGACAACAACATTGGGCACATTGTTTCCGGCTAAATTTATTATTGCGCGGCAACCATACAAACAACTATGTTGAACGTGGCTTTGGCTTGCTTAAAGATATTATCTTTGCAAGAACCAAAGCATATAATTCAGTTCAGGTCTTTTATTTTATTACCAAAAACATGGAACGATTTTATGAACGTCATTTATATGGATTTGCGCATCGACATATTGGTTATATGGAAATTTCAAAGAGATTCTTTTGTCCCAGTTGGGAAACTGTTGATCAAGATTCAATCTGCCAGTTAGAAAATTCAGATGAATATTTAGTTCCAAGTGCAAAGAAAGAATCAGGACTTATTTATAATGTAAATAGCACTATTGGAACATGCAATTGTTTTATTGGAATGTCAGGTGCACCGTGCAAGCACCAAGGTGCTGTGGCCATGAAGTATCATATTAGAATTATCAATTTTTTACCTTCGTTAACGCCTAACGATCGCATGACTTTTTCTTATATTGCGAATGGTTAGTATTAATATTGGTATAAATGAATGCTATATATGTTAGTGTTTTGAACCGTCAACCGAAAGTTCAACCGGGGCTGATCCGGGTAGACTTCCGGGTATTCCCAGCCAATCGCTGATGTTTGTTTACATCGGGTAAAATAGGATGCATCAATCCTATTTTACCCGATGTAAACAAACATCAGCAATTGGCTGGGAATACCCGGAAGTCTACCCGGATCAGCCCCGGTTGAACTTTCGGTTGACGGTTCAAAACACTAATATATGTACATGCATGTAACATTATAATAATTTTTTTTTAAGGATTCCATGTGAAAGATCATTCCTTTTATGCATCGTTGCGCACAAAACCTGCATTGGTCAATCAGCATAGTTCTATAAATGATAATGAAGACGATGATTTAAATACTATATCAATAGCAGAATGCAGGGCTGACGCAAGCAATGAATTCAGGTTTGTATTTTTGTACATCAATAATTTAAGTTATTCTTTTACAAAATTTACATATATACTATTAAATATTATTTTAGTAAAATGGAAGATCAGGAAGCTGAGTTTGACAATTCATCTTTCAATGAATTTTTAGCAAATAAGGTTGGCGCAAGCAGGTTTGTTATATGTATATCATTTAAGCTATTCTATTGTATATACCATCGCTACATTATTTTTATCTATTTAGTGAAATAGAAGATCAGGAAGCAGAGTTTGATAGTTCATCTTTCACCAACTTTTTAAAAGAAATCGATAATGATTATAAAATCGGTGGCTTACAACTACAACAAGCATTCGATAAGTTTGCTGAACGCTACAAGGCTGCCAAATCACAATCAATTGGAC